CAAGTCAAGAGACACACTGCTAGATCGGTGTAGATTATGCCTCTGCGGGCTTGAATCTCCTTAAAGAGAGCGAGATATCCGTGCCTCAGCTTAAAGATTTGTTTATGCATTTTTTGTCATTTTATTTCAACTGTAATTTATTATCTTTATGGTATATTACACCATACTATAGTTTTTAAACATTTGATCTTCACGCATTTGACATGAAAATAGTTGTTAGAATAAATTCGCTCTCGTTATTTTTTTTCTTCAAAAGTAGATTCAGAAGATATTTCGTCGATTTTCAAGGGCTCATGTGTTTTTCATTAAATAATATGTGCATCCTTCCTGAACTTTTTATTTTTAAAGTTCACTTTCAGTATTTTATGGTATTTATTGCTTTGTTTTTTTTTTCTTTTCGGATCAAATTCTGCAATGAATATAATGATTTGGAATAATGATAAAATAATAGCCAAGGTATTTAGGCGTTGAAATTATAAAGAATATGTAATTATTTGCTTATTGCATAGTGTTTTCTAATAAACATTTTAAAATTTCTTATTCTATTTAATTAGTTACAGATAGAAGAAGGGAGGAAAGTGCATCAATTAATGGACGTAAAGGAAACAAATGATGAAGATCCAAAGGGCCACAAACAAAGAAATGTATAAATCAAATATTTGATAAAATGTTTGAGGATTTGGACAAATCATCTTTTAAATCTCATAATAACATATTCAAAGTAAACGTGCGACTATGTGAATCAAATCCAGATGCTTATACACCAAAGATAGTCTCTATTGGTTGGTCCTTAATTACCATAGGAAAAATCCTCAACTTGGTCCAATGGAAAAGTACAAATTATTGTACCTACGGTTTCTGAAACGAAGAGAGGGGTTCGATGTGAAATATTGGATCGGTACATTGGAGGATATGAAGGAGGAAGTACTAATATGTTACGACGATAAAGAAGACCTCGATACTGATGTAGGTCGTACATATTTTAGTGACTATGCAACTTTCATGAATCATCTTATCACCTCAGACAAAGATGTGAAATTACTTCGCCACAATGGAATCATAAAGAACTGGATAGGAGATGACAAAGAAGTGGTTAACATCTTCAACAAAATGAGAAATGGGGGTTGTTCTTATTCCAACTACTATTACAATGAACAATACATAAAAGTATTACAACATTGTGAAAAACCATGGAACAGAATGAGGGCAAATGTGATGCACATTTTAGCAAGTATTGGGCAAGAGCTTCAACTGTGGCAGGCATCATGCTCTTCATACTCACAACTACACACACTATTTTAGCTTTCACAGGTTCCATTAAGAAGCAATTCTCATAATTGTCTCAATTTCCTCACAACTCCAAGCATGAATTTGCATGCATGCATGTGTGTTACGTTGATGAGCTTATGAGTTTTTCGTTAATTCTATTTTGTATTGGGTTTTATAGTTGAATGCTAATTAATTAGTTTATTTCATGTATTTATGTTTATCATCTTCTATCAGCAACATCTATCATGTAATTCAATTCTAATCACCATGTAAGGCGGCTCATTATAGCCACCAAACAATAAGCATTTTCAACAAATCACAAAACTGCATAAAGTTGTAACCTTCTCTTCCAATTGATTCATTTTCTGCAATGGCAAAATATGCTAACACACTACACCAAAAATGATCTTTAGTGACAATTAATTAATAGCAATAGTTGAATTGCCGCTACATATGTATTTTTAGTAGCAATTAACATTCTTTGTAAATGTCCCTAAAGCCTGTAGCGACATTAGATCTAATGAAAATTAACTAATACTAATAAAAACTTTAACACTCTTTATTAATGTGTATATTTATTACTGCCGAAAGAAGTGAATTTGCTTCGCCTAAAAAAAGTCAAACTTTTTTTCAAATAGCAAATATATTGCCACTACCCGTTTACTATTAACAACTTGTAATGTGAAAGACATGTCTATCTAACATTATCAGACCACACATATGATGATTATTGAAAACTAGTACTTCCTTCGTATTATATTAATGAATCCGGTTCCTCTTCATTTCTCTTCTCTCCATTTTTCCCAAGTTCTAGCTTGGATTGGAGACACGTGTCATAGTTTAGAATTAATTGTTGAGATTTAATTGATTAAAGTAAAGTCCTAACCATAGGTTTTTACTTTCATATACTTGCTTCTTAAATATTTTTGCAATATAAGACATTTTATTATAATTATTTTAGCAATTTCCTCTTTGACTAATACATTCTGAATTATTGCACGGGTGTGTTTGGAATGGAAAAAAATGTTTTCCATACTGGGATGGTGAATGAAAAAAAATTAAATAAATAAATAAATTACATAGTAGTTTGATGAGCTGAAACTTTGGATAAAAGAGAATGTAGAGATTCACAATAACATATATATATAGAGTACTATTATAGTTGAATCGAGTAATTAAAAATTAAAAGTTAAAATATGTGCAAGGAAAATGAGATATATGTCATTTTGCTAATTTTTATGAAATCGATTTCTTTTTACCTCCTAGAAAATGATTTTCGTCATTTCAAGTATCATTAAATTACTCTTTTTTTTTTTTTTGAAAAACATTCTCCTAGTAAACACACCAATATAATATATTTTCATTATTATTTGCGACTTTGCGCTTTATTAATGGTTTTTATATGTTTCCAAATTTTATACGTGCGAGCAATATGGACTCCAGTTAGAGAGTAAGAAAGAATTTAAAGTTAAGTGACAAAAAATTTTTACTCCTAAAATTAGGAAAAAAACGTCAGTACAATTTTTAAATTTTTATTTGGCAAATATTATTTGAGAAATGACAAACGTTAGCTAAAAAGTAAAAATCAGCAAAAAAATTACTCAAATAATTAAGAAAGGAAATTCTTTTAAATATAATTATGAAAAATATAATGTAAATCTAAAGTAGTTGGATTGCAAAAATATTTAAGAAGCAAATATATGGAAATAAATAATTATGATTAGGACTTTACTTTAATCAATTAGATCTCAACCATTAATTCTAAACTATTACATGTGTCTATAATCCAAGCTAGAACTTGGGAAAAATGGAGAGAAGTCGTATCCTATATTAATTGACGTACAACTTTTTAAAAATCAACTTATATAAACTTTAACTGACAGATTATTTTAAAAAATATTTTTTCATCAACTTAATTTTCAAAAAAAGAAATATGACAACTAATTTAAATAGAAGGAGTAACGTGAAAGATACTTAATCCATTGACTTTGACTCTATTTTAAAAATAAAATAAAATTCTGGTGTCCGTATTTGAACTCCAATTAAATTCAGATTGCGCACGACAGAATCCATTTGGAAGTGGCCCTCCCAATTTTTTTTTCTCTATATCTAAGGTTCGAATCCGAGACCCTTTACTAATTGTATTAAATGATGTAATGTATTTAGCTTGACAATCCAAAAGCATCTCAGTTTACATAATGGATCATATATAAAATAATCCCACGATCTAGTTAAATCCATTAATGTAATACTACTTCTTACGGTATCTTTTAAGTGATTTTTCGATCTTTTAAATTTGATTCGAAATAAATAATTTTTTTTAAGAAACTCAAATATATAGTTTTAAGCATTTTTTTTCTTTTTAAAATTACCTTGTTCGACAAATAATTGAACAATTTTTTGAGAAATCTTTAAGGAGCTAGTGATAAATGATCTTATATCATTTACGTCTCAAATTAATATAGTTACTTTAAATTAAGGTTGCTAATTATTTTCTAGTACAATCAAATTAAACCTTTGTAGTAAATTAAAGTCAAACCTCTCTATAGTGTCGGTGTTTGTCTAAGTACATGCATGTTATAGTTGCTATAGTGATCATGTGTTGTTATTGACATTTAATGTTTAAATCTTATTTTTTGTTATAAATAAAAATATGCAAAAATATGTCGTTCAATGTTTTTTGTATACCAATAAAAAGGGAGTGTATTTCTTAACCAAATCTGAATTAAAAAAATGTAAAAGAGTAGGAATGTGAAAAGGACAAACACAAGTAGCCTTTTCTCATTAAGTTATATATCACCATAAATGTTGGCACCATTTAAATATATTTTTTCTTTAAATATTTATACTTAAAATTTATTATGCATGTGCATGATATTATTAATGATTACTGTAAATATAAAATAATGAATATTTTATTTTTACGTAACATATTGCTTAAACAAATATTACTGTTACGATATTTTAATACAAGTATTCCTTGTTGACTTTTTAATATAAAATATTACTACTACATGTTATTAAATGTAAATTATAATCGACAAAAAAAACAATTACTGCAATTATTTCCTTGTTGACTTTTTATTTTTGAACACTTGTGGACTCTAGTTGTAGGAAAAAACAGCTAAATTAAACCAGAAAGGTAAGTTTTCTACATGTTTCATTTTATGATTAATTGCTCAAGAATTCAATTACATTCTTTGTTACCTCAAGTTTTATAATAAATGTTAAAGCAACATATTTTTTTCTTCTTGATTGTTAGGAAAATAAGGTGGACTTTATTATTTGTGGATATTTGTGAGTTTAAATGCTCACAAAATTTTGTTGTGAGAGTTTAATATGTTATGTATCAACATTTTGGTTTAGAATATCCAGTTATGAACAGTTCCCTTCAGATGTTGCATACTACTTGGTTGATCATTGCATTAATTCTTTATAACTACATACTATTGGTTTAGCATTTTAATATTATTATTTTAATATATTAATTTGCTCTATTTTGGAGTTAAAAGAGTGCTGAATTGTTTCAGCAGTTAGTGGGCATTCTTACATTACTACCGTTGGTGAGGCATATAGACATTACTCTCAATTTTTTTAATACAAAATTAAAAATCTTTTATACAATAATCATAAAATTTAAAAAAATATTATAAAGGACTACAGAATTAAATCTCCTGTTTTTTTTGGTCAATGATTATCCACTAGCAAATATTTTAATGGACTTTCGGAAATTATATAGAAAGACTTGGCTTTAATAATTCAAATTTATAGTAAACTTAAACTAATCTATTTCAGATCAGGACTTTGATAAATTAATTGAAAGTTTACCTTTGCAGTCTAACAATAATAATGCTTTTGCTGACTCAATTTTCTCAATATAAGTGTTGTAAATCTGCAACAAGGTAAACTACCATTTGAGAGGAATTATAAGCTTGGAAGTAATTAAAGAAAAAGGTATAATATTTTTCTACTTTTCTTTTTCTATTTCATTTTACATGTATTTTTGTGATTCATTTGATTTGAAAGAAACATACATAATAAGAAGTAGAAAAATGGTATATAATTTTCTGTTTATTGCTTTGTTATTTTTAATAGATCAATTTAGTTTCTTTTTTCTACAGGGATAACATGAGAGTTGATGCTATATAATTTTCTGTTTATTGCTTTGTCTTTTCTTTTCAAATAAAATTTTGCAATGAATATATTGCTTTGGATTAGTAGTAAATGAATTGAAATTAAAAGAATGTTTTTTTTTATATATATAGGAATTACAATTGAAGAAAGAGAGATGACACACTCCACTGAGATGACCCCAACAGATGATCAAAGTCCACTTATTCCTCAAATTAATACTAATAATGATAAGGTCTCTCTTTCTCACAACTATATAAATTTGTTTTTGATTTCATTAGCCTACTAATTTTTTGCAATTAAATATTTAATTTCTTTTTGTACCCTATATTTTGCTAGTGCATGAATTTCAAGGGATTGTAGAATTTTTTAGATTACTTTTTTTCATATAATTTTAGGTCTACCTCATGGTCCTAACACGTTCACTAACCATGGTTTTGGTGTAAACCTTGTCTACTTCTTTTCTAATCACTTTTCACACTCAAACTTGTGGAATTACCCTCAGAAATATCCTCTCAAAATTACCATCTTAACTGAAAAAGAAAAATTAAATATATATGTTTGATACGAAAAAATTATTTCTTACTAATTTTTTAGTGTTTATAAGTAAGCAGATTTTATTGTTCTAATAGAGCTGTAGAGTCTGTGCAAACACTATAACGGTGGGGTTGATGGGGGAGGGCGTGGGGGTAAGGGTGGATGGTGGGAGGGGAAGGGGATAGGTGGATAGGGGATCGGAGGCGAGTAGGGGTGTAAAAATTGAACCAATTGATAAACTGAATCGAAAAAAATATTATTGGTTTATTACTACTGTATTTGCCTTTTAGCTTCAATTCACACTTCACAATGACTTTGAGTTCACAACATCACATTATATAAAACATCAAAATCTAAAGTAAGAACTCTGTTCCTATTAATTTCTCTTTGTGTTGCACATCTATAGCTCATTTCATGTTAGCCACTATTGTTTCTAATTTATGATTGTTCTATAAAGTTACATTATTGTCTTGTTGCGTCAAATATTGGATAAGCCATATATTTGTTTTATAAGTATTTTTTTATTTGTTAAATTGAAAACCGAACCGTTAAGGATCTAAACCAAAAATTGATAAAAATATCTTATTGATTTAGCGTATTTAAAAATTGAAACTGATAAACGAACCAATAATACATAAAACCAAACCAAACCGACCGATACACAACCCTAGAAGTGAGAGTGTTTGGGAAAGAAGACAATTAATTAATGCAGAGTGCCACTTATAAAACTTATAAAACTGTTACATATATTATTTTATTTTATTTCCTAAATACAATTATTATAATTCTTTCCACTAATTACAGATAGATGAAGAGTTCCACAAATCAAATATTTAATGAAAGATTTAAGCATTTGGACACTACATGCATCAACTTTGCAACCATATTCAAAGTAAATGCAGGGCTACGGAAATCAAATCCAGATGCTTATACACCAATGTTGATCTCCATTGGTCCTTATCACAAGAAAAATTCTCAACTTGGCTCCATGGAAAAGTACAAACTGTTGTACCTACGACGATTTCTCAAGCGGAAAAATGGGCTTGATGTGGAAAGTTGCATTACTGAAATTGATAAACTGAAATATGAAGCACTAAAGTGTTATGGCGATAACCTTGACAGTGATATTGTTGACAAATTTTCAGAAATGTTGTTGCTTGACGGTTGTTTTGTGGTTGAATTTATTCGAGAGTGCTGGGAAGATGAGGAAAAAGAAAACAACATCATCAAATTGGAATGGATGAAGTATCAAGTATGTAGAGACATGGTGTTACTAGAAAACCAACTTCCTTTCTTTGTGCTTGTCAGACTTTATCGCATGACATCACATCCTACTGAAGAGAACTTGTTGTATATGGTGAGACAGACCTTGCTTGATACTTTTCCAAAGGCAAAATTTATACCCAAATCAGAAATTCAATTTATAACAGAACGATTCGACCATTTACTTGATGTGGTACACATGTTTTGTCGCCCATCAGGTAAGAAAGTTGACCAAAACATGAATGCTAGCACGCAAAACCAGTGTTGCAACATAAGTTTTTGTGGCAACAGTTTGCAATTATCTACAGAAATCCACCCTCATCTTAAATTTTGGCAATGCTATCATATTCCAACTGCAAGAGAGCTTTTTGACGCTGGAGTTAGCTTCTTAAAAATAGGATCTGTGGAAGAAAATGACGAGGATAAAGCATCACTATTCGATATCACATTCGAGAAGGGATTAATGAAAATTCCGTGTTTCGCGATTGACGATAATATGGAAACCTTCATGAGAAATATGATAGCTTTTGAGCAACATACTTCAAAAGAACTATATCCGTATTTCTCGAATTATGCACATTTAATGACTCAACTTATTGGCTCACATAGAGATGTGAATTTTCTTCGCCAAAACAAAATCATCCTTAAGGGCATGGGAGATGACAAAGAAGTGGCCAGCATATTCAAGAAACTTTCAGATGGGGTGGTAATCACAGACTTTTATTATATAAAAGAATGCAGTAAATTGATTCAACATTGTGAAAAGCCATGGAGTCAAATGAAGGCAAGTTTGAAGCACAACTATTTTCAGAGTCCTTGGGCAGGAGCTTCAACTGTGGCAGCTATTACACTTCTTGTGCTCACAACTATACAGACTGTTCTGGCTTTTACCAGTTATGTTAATAAGTAATCTTTGTTGTAGCTGTGTAACACAACTATTGACTCATCGAGTGATTCCTCATTATGCAATTATTTGTGTGTTGATGAGCTTAATATTGTGTCTCACCTCCATTATATATAGGGTAGGACTAAAGCTAATAATTTCAGATCATATTTATAAAATTAGCTTATTTAATCCATATTTTTATTTGAGGTAATTTTATTTTATTTGCATTAATAGTATATTTGAGGTAAATTTTTAGTCTTAGTTTGTTCTCGAAGTATGTAATAAGATATTTCGCAGATAAACAAGGCCTATGCATGTAAGGGAGTAGAGCATTTTTCTTATTTTTGTTCCAATGTTCATGTGGAGCCCTACTAGGGGAGTCCAGAATCGACTAGCTGAAAATCTCCTTGAATTTCAATTGGTGCTAAGTGATTTTCCAATGGCAAAATTGAATTGATCAACCACCTCTTATATATTCTTACTCACAACAATATACTTAGTGTGATCCCACTTGTGAAATATGGAAAAGTTGAAGTATATGCAGACTTAACCCCTATCTTGTGTGAGGTAGAGTATCTGTTTCCAATAAATATTCTGAATTGACAAGGTATTATCCTTTACGGAGAGATTTTCAAGCAGAACTTGGGCTAAAGTTGGTTGTAGGGTTTGAGAATGTTGGAGTATACCTAGACTTTATCCCTATGGACTGCATATATACTATATCTTCAAAGGAGGATATCTCTTTTGACAGTTTAATCCTCATGGTATTATGCAAATTTCAAAAGGTTCTCCCGATGAAAATAATAAATCAAGGGGGAGGGGGGGGGGGAACTTAACATAATATTTTAAAGGGAAAATGCTCAAATATGTCATCGAACCTTGAGAAAAGACTCATGTTAATAGTTGGCTCAATATATCATGGCACTGCCTTTATGTCTAGATCCATTTGTGCCATTATTTTTTAACGATTAGGATTTTTTCCACATGTGTACTAATAAAAAAAGTTCAAATATGTCATCGAACATTGAGAAAGGGTTCATCCATGTCATCTATTAATAGTTGAGCTCAACCATGCCATTGTTGTGCAGAAATGACCCATTCATGATATTTTTTAATGGTCGGATTTGATGGTTTTGCTAAACCTTTTTTTCCATGTGGCCTCTTGTCAGCACTCCACGTGCCAAAATTAAAATCTATCTAATTTAATTAAATTTGAAATCAAACCTGACTCATTAACACCATATTCTACCCACCCTAACCCGTTTCCTTTTTATTTCTTTCCAGACCCTTAGATCGATCAATTGACAAGAAACTAATAGATGAATAAATCATTATACATTGTAGAAGAAAAAATTGAAAGATTAGGGCTTGTAAATACTGAATTTTTGAAGCTTTTGCAGAGGAGTCAAACATTAAAATGAGAGAAAAATGTTCGATCTAAGGATTTGGAGGAGAAATAAAAGGGAAACGGGTTAGGGTGGGTCATGTATGATGTTAATGTAGAATTCTCAAGTAAATGAATAAGAGAAATGAAAGATTGTATTAATGAATAAAACTGTTGAATACATGCTGCTTATATAGGAGTTGTTACAGAGTTTTTATCAGCTCCTTATATCAATATCTACAATATTATCAACATGCTCATCAACAAACAACTTCACATTTTATATCACATCATTGGTCCTCTCATGGAACCCAAACCCAAACAGTTAGCATATCGAAACGTGGTACCCGATCCCAATGTTATGTCGGAACATGGCAAGCAACCCATCCTAGTTAGTTATGCCGGAACGTGGCAACCGATCCCAATCACACACCACAATCACAATCACAAGTACATCATCAAGATCATACATTTACATTATGATTTCATGGCAATCATCATTCATCTACCTCATTTACAACAAGTGTGATCAACATTGCAACATTCATACTTATACAAGTATCATAATGAAGCAAGAACGAACAAACATCACACAATCATAGAATCACAACCATCACCTACCTCGAAACAAGCTTGAAACCCTAAGAAACTTGATTCTTCCCTTTCCGAATTCGTTCCGCTTGTTCTTGGTCTACAAACAATCAATATAATACGGGAATCAATAAACAATTACTCCCTCTGTCCCATTTTATGTGGTACCATTTCCTTTTTGGTCAGTTCCAAAAAGAATGTCACTTTTCCTTATATGGTAAGTATTTAAAGATACAATTCCTCTTTTACCCTTGTTGGTCCCACTTAATCTTAAAGATAGTACTCCAATACATTTATAAGGAGAGAGAAAAGTGAGTCTACTTTTTAATATGAATATTTTTTGAGGGGGCAATTTGGTAAACATTTCAAAGTCTTCATTTATTTCTTAAACTTTGTGCCCGGTCAAATGTTGCCACATAAAATGGGACGGAGGGAGTATTAATTACCCGGATTACTAACAAATCTAACAAACCCTAGATCAACCCATGATCTCAATGATCCAATTTAGGGTTGTTTCCACCATAGATTCAAGATCAAAATCCTTCCCCATCAACATTGACCCATTCTATTACGTTCTACAGATCGAAAAATGGATTCGAGGCCCCAATTTTTCCCGTTGGCATTTTTATAACAACGGAAGCCGGTTGTTACAGATAGGAAAATAAAAATAATTTTATTAACTATATATGGTCATTTTCACAAGGACAACTAAGTTAATCTTATTTTAAGAATATAAAATATTAAAGGTTAAATGGGACAAAAATAATTAATTTAATCTTGATTTTGATAAAATAACAAGTTTGAATACTTATTCTTGATAATCATAACAACCTATATAAGTCGGTAGGAGTAACGGTAATTAATAAATAGTGTTTACCAACAAATCATCTAAAACTTAATTTAATGAGAAAATTATTGAATTTGTGTGAATAAAATACCATATTCGTTTCTAAAAGAAAAGGCAAGTTACATGTAAGTGTCAAATATTGACCAAGTAGTGCATTGATTTTGATAAAAATGACTAAAATGCTTTTTATCGTCCTTTTCCTACTCATGTACTATACAATTAATTTATCCAAAAGGAGACCTAGAAATAAAATAGTCTTGGAGCTTAATGAAATTATATATTTTTACTTTGTTGTCATATTAATGCACCTACTCAACTACCCTAGTTTTGTAATATTAATTTTGTACCTAACTTTCTTTTCTTGTATTTAAAAGTGAAATATCGCGGAATATATATAGTCATTGACTTGAGCCAACGGATTTTTCAAAAAAATTTATCGTCGGCCAAGAGCATTTTTGTATTGAAAGGGCACAAAATAAAGTGTTGAATTGAATAAATTTATGTATAAAATATATTTTATATACTAAATTTGGAAATAATAAAAATATTAAATATTTTATCTCGAATCTGGGATTATGAAAATGACTACAAGTCAATAGGCATTTCAGTATCAAGTTACTGAAATTGTCATAACTTTTTATTCAAAATTAGGATTGTTGCGAAATTGGTGGCATTGGAAAGTAAATTCAAATACATTTAATTTGATATGTTATAGGTCACATAACTCTTTATATTCTAAGAGATATGGTCGTTTGAAGTTGATCCAAGAAAAATCTCACAATAAAACTCAATTGAAAGAAAAGTTTTCAACTCAACTTTATGCTAGGGAATTTTAGTGACCTTAACATCTAAGAAAATTTATAATCACTTTGTTAGATATTATTCAAAAAAAAGAATGATCCGAATCGTTATCTTAAAAATTGTTGGGATATTACAAAGAGCAGCATGTCCACAATGTGCAAATAATGTCAACTCTATACCTTCTCTATAGACACTGTCATACGACCAACAAAATGAGTATTTGCACAGAGTCCAGTACGGACTATGGAAAAATATTTCTTAAAAAATTATGTATAAAAGCGTATTATTTATTTAATGACTTGATATTAATATTAGAGTAAATATGAACAAGTTTTTACCATTCTGTCCTACCCTCTCCATCCCATTTTATGTGGCACCATTTTCTTTTTGGTCAGTCCCAAAAAGAATATCACATTTTCTTATATGGTAAGGTACAATTCCTCTGTTACCCTTGTTGGTCCCACTTAATCTTAAATATAGTACTCCAATACATTTATGAGGAGAGAGAAAAGTGAGTCTACTTTTAAAGGGGCAATTTGGTAAACATTTCAAAGTCTTCATTTATTTCTTAAACTCCGTGCCCGATCAAATATTGTCACATAAAATGAGACGGAGGAAGTATTAATTATTAGACTGATAAATACCGGCACAATACATTTAAAGGAGAGTGTGGTTTAATTTGGTGTGAATGCGGAGACATAAGTAATTGCTCTCTTGACCGTTTCATATTATTTAATTCATGTTAACTTGATACTCCCATTAAAATCATTAAAAATAGTATAAAAAAGTAATAAAGCTCTTTAGATTTGTTAAAATAAACAAATAAAATAGTAATTTATTTTTTGATATATATATAGAGATCAAGTAAAATAAAATAGAGAAAATTACATGGTTAAGTAAACATATACTAGTTAATTAGTCATCATAACTATAGTTTTAATTAATTACCATTCATGACCAATATTCAGTGATAATTACGTGGGGTGAGGTTTCGAGTTTGTATAATTCACACGTTTGTATGATTTGAAATTTGTATAACTTTTGTATAATGTAAATTTGTATAATATAATTTGTATAACTGTTTAAGTTCAAATGTTTGTGTTTGTACAAATTCGTTATTTCGAGTTTATACAAAATAACTCAATTATACAAACTCATTCGCGAATTATACAAACGAGACAACTTAAACTATAGCTACAATCCATAAATATACAAACTATATCTATAATATATAATTAAGTTTATTATAGTGACTATTTGAAAAAATTCCTAATAAAATAAGGGAATTAAATACATCAAAAGAGGAGGTAAGCATTTAAAAAACGTGCTTCTTTCTTTAATGAATTCTGGAAATAGGGATAGTACATGAGCTGTAGCCTGTATGTAGTAATAAATTATTAATGGTGAACAATTTGTAAAAATTAATTTTTGCACCTAACTTTCTATTTGCCCTGAAATTAAAGTAAAATATTTGGAAATATAATACTATAT